ATTTTATTATAATTCTGTCTTTCAGTATTGCCAATGAAAAATCATGAATATTTTTCATCATTTCTTTTTTGTTTTCAGTATTTAACCACATTCTCATGGAATTATTTCATTTTTATCTATTCTCAATTCAAGCTCTTTAGTATCAAAGAAGAATCCATTATTAGGAAAGATTATCAACATCTTGGCTTGAGTTACTTTTTTAGAAACTGCAAAATAGTACCCAAAGCTACACACCTCATCCTCAATTTTCTTGGTCTCAGTAGAAAAACTCTCTGCTTCTGAAATTAAAATTCAATATCCATCTGTCCAATGTTTCTTCTTCCCTTCACCTCCAAATTCTTGTTAAATTTAATCTATTTTCGCCCTTTTCCTATATTTTAAGAAACATGAGTCTAAACATTATTTAAGTTTAAATTTGCCTCCTAATTTTTTTCAGACAGGCTCTCCTTTTGTCACCCCCGCTGGAGTGCAGTGGCATGATCATGGCTCACTACAGCCTCAATTTCCTGGGATTAAACAATTCTCCTGACTCCGCCTTCTGAGTAGCTGTGACTATAAGCATGTGTCATGATACCCAGCTAGTTTTTTAAGTTTTTTTCTGTAGAAACAAGGTCTCATTATATTCCCCAGATTGGTCTCAAACTCTTAAGTTCAAGTGCTTCCTGCCTCGACCTTCCAAAGTGCTGAGAGGCCTTGCCTCCTAATTTTTGATAGTTTATTCTCTCATATTCCTCTGGGGCATTGATCCATCTATTACTCCACTGGACACAATTCTGTGTTTTCTTCCATCTAGAAGCATTCCATAATGTTTATATTAAAGAGTCTTGAGGCTGGAACATTTTTCTGTTTGTTTGTGTCATCTCTGATTTTTTCAGCAGTGTTTCATAATTCCATTGTAGAGATATTTTACTTCCCTGGTTAGCTGTATTCCTAGTTATTTTTTTTTCTTTTTGTTGCTATTGTGAATGGAATAGTGTTATTGATTTGGCTTTCAGCTGGGACATTATTGGTATACAGAAATGTTACTAATTTTTGTACATTAATGTTACGTCCTGAAACTCGACTGAAGTTGTTTATAAGTTCTAGGAGTCTTTGTGCAGATACTGTAGGCTTTCCTAAGTATAGAGTAATATCGTCTGTAAAGAGAGATAGTTTGAATTCCTCTCTTCCCATTTGATGCCTTTTATTTCTTTCTCTTGTCTGATTGTCCTGGCTAGGAGGAATATATATTGTTCTACTATAAAGACACTGTATTAGTATGTTCTTATGCTGCTAATAATGACACACCCAAGAGGAGGTAATTTATAAAAGAAAAGAAGTTTAATGAACTCACAATTCCACGTGGCTGGGGAGTCCTCACAATCATTGTGGAGGGCAAAGCAGGAGGAGCAAAGTCATGTCTCACATGGCAGCAGGCAAGGAAGGCATGTGCAGGGAAACTCCCCTCTATAAAGCCATCAGATCATGTGAGACTTATTCACCACGATGAATACAGCACAGGAAAGACCCTGCCCCGTGATTCAATTACCCTCCATTGGGTCCCTCCCATGACACATGGGAATTATGGAAGCCACAATTCAAGATGAAATTAGGGTGGGGACACAGCCAAACCATGTCATTCCACCTCTGGCCCCTTCCAAATTTCATGTCCTCACAATGCAAAACCAATCATGCCTTCCCAACAGTCCCCTAAAGTTGTAACTCATTTCAGCACTAACTCAAAAGTCCAAGGTCTCATCTCAGGCAAAGCAAGTTTCTTCTGCCTATAACTCTGTAAAATCAAAAGCAAGTTAGTTACATCCCAGACGCAATGGGAGTTCCAGCATTGGGTAAATATACTTATTACAAATGGCAGAAAATGGCCAAAACAAAGGGCCTTCAGGCCCCATGGAAATCTAAAATCCAATAAGTCATTAAAACTTAAATTTCCATAATAATCTCGAGAGTGAGGATCCAAAACCACCTAATCAAATACTGTGCTTACTACCTGGATGATGAAATCATTTCTACACTAAACTCTAGTGACATGCAATTTACCCATGTAACAATCCTGCACATGTACCCCCTGAGCCTAACATAAAAGTTGGACGGAAAAGAAATAAAAAGCCCTACCAGAAAAAAAAAAAAAGTATTTTCTTAAATGTTATTACATATTCAAGATACCATCTCCAACTTCTCAATAATATTTGCTAACATTTAGCAAACATTCTGCTTTCCTTAGCAATCTGCTTTCTTTCTCTATATGCAATTGAAAACATACTGCTCAATTACTTAGTTAAGACTTTGACTGACTGTTTGGAAGGCATGATTGTATTTTGAAATGTGAGGAAATGAGTTTTGGGGGGTATCAGGGTGGAATTATATGGTT